ACAGCACCCCCCCAAGAAAAAAAAAACAATAATATTGTAATGACATTATGCTACATTTTTCAACTTTTGCTGCACAACCAGCGCACCTTTCAAGGGACCAGCCACTTTATAAATGCTAAAAGGGGGTAAAAGACCTCAAAATGTGCACAATTATCAAATATGTTTTAAAAAATGTGTATACTGTAAAGGTAGTGTTATTGCGAGAAAGCTCTTGGTCACAGAAGTCATTGCAAAAAAAAAAATAACCTGAACTCTTGAAGAACTGCTGTCACTACGAATTGCACTATTTTACTATATTACACCAAAGAAATACCAGGTGAGCTTTTCGCAGCAGAAGTGAAATAGTTTGGTATTCCACTGGTGTTTACATAATAAAATTATAGAACATTATCTGGCTGCTTGCAGATACAATGTTTTTTCTTCTGATGTTGAAAATATTTCACTATTTTGCTGCACTCATTTGTGAAATATTTTTCAACACTCAAAGAGAATGATACTTATTTATTGCAATATCCAAATAAACTAGACTGTCAAATTGAAAAAAACCTAAAGAAAACTTTACCAAAAGGTAGATGGATAAGATGGTTAACAATGGAGAAACTGTCTGCATGAAAAACTTAGGCTTACTTTTTTCAAGATGAGCGTTCGGCATGATGTAGCTTTTGGATCTGGCAATCTTCTAGACTGAGTGACCAGATATAACTGCTGATTCATTAAATTTGTTCTTCCCCATCAAGTAAAAACTGTGAATTAGTCTCCATACTGATAACTTAATATGTAACTCTACAGAGATATCTTATGTATCTGACTAATATAATAATGGTCTTTTTCTGTTGCACACATGCTCATATTTTGATTGCACTAACACTAACCTCTTAGGTGCAACATGTTTAAGCAAAGTGATGACTGATTGGTTCAACATAACTTGTAATCTAAGGACAGCTAAACAGGCACACAACATGGTTCTCTGTAGAGTTTGTGTCAACATTATGGAATATTTCCAGTTGAATCTCAAAGGTCTTTTGAGTGGAGGAAAAATTGAGCATGCTATTAGATGGAAGACTGTCTCTTCAGGGTCCAGCCCATTATATTTAAGTGTAAACTTCTTTATAATGCATACTAATAATATTATCTCAAAGGCAATCTTTGCTTCCTTTTCCCGTGTTCTAACTACCTTCTACTCTTCCCTTGTAGACATACCCACCTGGGGGGTTACAAAGGACATAAAAGGTTTGGACACTAGGCCAATGATTTCAAATCACATTTCAGGAAAGCAAAATTCATTATAAATAATCAAAGAAAAGTTTACCTTAAGCTAAGGACAAAAACTGTTTAGTCTAGGAAACTTACAGGGCTGTCAATAAGTGCCATCACTTGTAACATTTGTTATGACTGAATATGTTTTGTGGGCCCTTGATGGTACAATAGTTGACACAATTCACCTAAAAGGTAACAAGTTTGTTACAGGTGTAAAGATCAAGGCTACAGTATTTGACTCAAAACTTATGACAGCCCTGACTAACCTAGCATTACAATGATATTAAATTCCCACGAGAACACCCCCAGAAACTGTTGCTCAGAAAGTAATCTTTACTTCAAGATTAATTTTACACAGACCTCTGCTTCTTTGAACTCTGTAATTTCTTTGAAAAAATAATAACCTTTGGATTCTCTGGGTCATCTTTTGAGACTTGCATGTCAACCTTGTCTCCTTGTGCCACAATATACTCCATCAGAGCATTACTCCGTGCGAGCGTGAAAGCGACAATGTCCTTAACAATAAGAAGAGCCTGCTCCACTTGCTGAACGTTCAAGAGCTCCACGCTGTGCCGCACCCCATGTATGTTAACGCTGGTCTCCTTTTCATCTTTGAACTTGCCTATCAACTTCTCAAGAACTTTCTGTATTGACGCTCCTTCTGTCTTAACAAAGTTCATTCTACTTGATATAACACTGAAGAGGAAGATGGCGGTCTTGAGCTGGTCTGCCAGTGGTGCTTTGAGGTTGTCAACTGACAGGAGGGGGTGAACATCAAGGTGTAACTCATATTCACTTTCACCTGTCCCATGACTGAAGCCTATTCTCATATCTGGAAATATTAAACAATTTGTTAATAAAGGAAACGTAAAATTTAAGTCTGCATACGAGCCAAGTGACCCATCCATCAAGCCCATGCTTATCTCCCATTTCTGTAGCATGAAGTCACTAAGAGTATTTCTGCTTCCCCCTGGACGGGATGCCAGTCCATCACAGGGTTACCCCCAGCATTTAATTCTCCAGCACCCATTTATACACCTGGAGAGAGGCACTGTGAGAGTAAAGTGTCTTGCCCAAGAACACAACACAATGTCCCTGGCCAGGGCTCAAACCCGGACTGCTTGATCCAGAGGCAAGCGCACTGACCATGAGGCCACTGCGCCCCTACTAATTTGTTGATAAGAACTTAAGACATGTAAATTTAATTGCATATTCAATCATTTGCATAAATGAAAACCATACAAAAATTCAGAGGTCTAAAATATTAAATTATAACATGCATAAAGAAATAAATTAGACTCCAAAACAACCTATAACCAGTATTAATATTTGGCTCTATAAGCTTGAAGCCATTTTTGTTTAATTTGGAGACTGTTTTACCCTTAATGTGCTCAAAATACTGTTCAACAGCTTTCATTTACTCCTAAGAGGAAACAACTAAAGGATCATCCAAAGAAATAATGCATTTTTTGTTGGTTTAGAACTATGGATACACTCTGGGAGTAGCATACCAGTAATAGTATTAACCAGAACAATGCAAGGACCAGTCAACCTTTCAAAGGTCTACAGGTGCATTTTTATTACAAATACACATATTTCCAAACACATACATGAAAAACGTAATGTCTTGGGCTGAATTTGGTATACGTACCAGGAGGAATAGAATCCAAACACTTTACTAGAGGACGATCATAATCCAAGCCCATTATTTTCTTTTCGATTATTTGCCCAGATCAGTTTAATCTCTTTAGCTCCACCTATTCTTTTTTTCTTTTTCTTCATCTGATGTTGCGATTTGCCTTCAGTAGATTCTACCATCTGTACAGCCAATGTCCCGGTGGTAGCTAATAGTTGCTTCTGATCCTAAGTGTGAAAAACCCAAGTTGATTAGTCACTTGAAAAAAGAGAATTCACATATCAAAAACCTGATAGATGGAGTGACAGGGGAATGTAGGCTCTGCAGTAGGTATTTTCTCTACAAGGTACTTTTTTCTGCATTAACATTGGCAAAATTGTAACCCTTCTCAAATGTTTTTGCAAATGGAGCCATTTCTGGGTAGCCGTGGTCATATATTAGAGCCGTGTAGTAATTTTAGATGCCTGAAATGGGGTATCAATTTTTGTCTCAGGTCTGAAATAGCAGGGTTGTCAATAAGGTGTAACCCGTGATAGTTGCTATGGCTAAATATGTTTGATAGGCCCTTGAGTGATGGGTGAACTTGCCTGTAGCTGATATAATTCATCCAAAAAGAAACAAGCTTGCTATGGGTGTGAAGATCAAGGCTTAACAGGTGATTAATAACTTAATGACAGCCCTNAATTTTTTGGTCTTAGAGAACCCCCCCCCCCCCCCCCCCCCGGGCTTTTCCCTCACAAGAGCAGGTGCTATGCTATGTTGCTTGTGTATTACTTTAGTTTGTTGCCAATTAAGATTTTATGGCCAAGGTCTTTTCTCAAAATTAAATGAAAGATTATAAACAAGATTAAATGCAAATTGAGGGGTGTAGTGACCATATACACATGCACATGTTTGTACCTCCGGAAACCAAGAAAAAAATATTTTTTAGCGTCTATTTATTGGTAGAAAGCAGCGTCCACTCGTAAAGAATAAAATATTAAATCTGCCGGATGCACTTAGAGCACTTTCAGCATATGAGCACTTCGATCTTTTTTGGTTAAATTTTGACTAATGTGGGGGTGGTAGGGTATAAACAATGCGTTGACTTAGCTTTGTATTAGCCAGAGCAGTGGAGACCATACTGTACGGCAACCGTTATAAAAGGAGAAGATAAGTTTTTCATGGGATGTCCCATTTACGAACCGATGACCTTCCAACCGACACCCCTAATTATGATAAGTACTCTAACTGCAAACCAGTTGATAGGAATGTGGAAATAAAACAGCAACAACGCAGTAGCAAACGCTTGTTCGAGGATACCGACGGAAAATCGAGGCTGCAGGAAACTTGACGGATTTGATAGATGAGAAGAGTTCAGAACTCAAATGGAAGGTCTTTTTCGTGGCTATCGAAGGTCGTCTAAACGAATCGACAATTCAAGTTACACAGATGTTACGAAGCCTTGTCAAAGAAAAGACGAAATAAATGGTTGTTTTCAAGAGCCATATTCACTTAAACTGTTTAAAATTGAAGTTATTGTGTCTAAATTACCGCCTCCAAAAGGCTGCGAATTGTTGGCAGATGGAAGCTCACGCACAGATCTGTGACGTAACTTAACTCTTAATTTCCTCAAATCAACCAAGTTTTCCAAAAAAGCTGACCCCCTTACCTCTCCTTTCCAAAATAATCTTCCATAGCAACAAAGGCAGGAACAATTTCCCATTTTAACCCATTTTGAGTTTCAAATGTTCCACGGACCGACATCAATGATGCAGAACAAATATTTTTCTGNCCCCCCCCCCCCCCCCCCCCCGGGCTTTTCCCTCACAAGAGCAGGTGCTATGCTATGTTGCTTGTGTATTACTTTAGTTTGTTGCCAATTAGGATTTTATGGCCAAGATCTTCTCTCAAAATTAAATGAAAGATTATAAACAAGATTAAATGCAAATTGAGGGGCGTAGTGACCATATACACATGCACATGTGTGTACCTCCGGAAACCAAGGAAAAAAATTTTTTAGCGTCTATTTATTGGTGGAAAGCAGCGTCCACTCGTAAAGAATAAAATATTAAATCTGCCGGGTGCACTTAAAGCACTTTCAGCATATGAGCACTTTGATCTTTTTTGGTTAAATTTTGACTAATGTGGGGGTGGTGGGGTATAAACAATGCGTTGACTTAGCTTTGTACTAGCCAGAGCAGTGGAGACCATACTGTACGGCAACCGTTATAAAAGGAGAAGATAAGTTTTTCATGGGATGTCCCATTTACGAACCGATGACCTTCCAACCGACACCCCTAATTATGATAAGTACTCTAACTGCAAACCAGTTGATAGGAATGTGGAAATAAAACAGCAACAACGCAGTAGCAAACGCTTGTTCGAGGATACCGACGGAAAATCGAGGCTGCAGGAAACTTGACGGATTTGATAGATGAGAAGAGTTCAGAACTCAAATGGAAGGTCTTTTTCGTGGCTATCGAAGGTCGTCTAAACGAATCGACAATTCAAGTTACACAGATGTTACGAAGCCTTGTCAAAGAAAAGACGAAATAAATGGTTGTTTTCAAGAGCCATATTCACTTAAACTGTTTAAAATTGAAGTTATTGTGTCTAAATTACCGCCTCCAAAAGGCTGCGAATTGTTGGCAGATGGAAGCTCACGCACAGATCTGTGACGTAACTTAACTCTTAATTTCCTCAAATCAACCAAGTTTTCCAAAAAAGCTGACCCCCTTACCTCTCCTTTCCAAAATAATCTTCCATAGCAACAAAGGCAGGAACAATTTCCCATTTTAACCCATTTTGAGTTTCAAATGTTCCACGGACCGACATCAATGATGCAGAACAAATATTTTTCTGTCTACGTATCTGTCTATGGGCGGGAGCAAATGTAGTGCTCAGGCTCCAACGGTAAAGAGTTGGGTAGCCGTGAGTGATCAAGAGTCCACTAGCGGCCACCGCCTCTCTGCAACAGCCACCTCTCTACAACGGCCACCTTTCCACAACGGCAACAGCCACTTAAACGCATCCCAACTGCCAAGATAATCTCTCGACAGCGGCCAAACAATAATCAACGACTGACGAACGGTGCCGATACAAGCCCTAGTTTTTATTGTAAAATATAAAAGGTCACCAAACTTGATCCGTACCGCGCGTCGTTGCTTTCTGTTTCTATTTAGTTTCTGTTTTATTGATATGGTTT